ATTTAGGTCATACACGAATGGTTTAGTGGTTTTCCCTACTTCTTCACTTTAAGCCTAAATTTTGCAATAAGAAGCTCATAATTTGAGCCAGTTAGGTCTTGTTTTTGCAGACTATATAGAGCTTCTCCATCTTCAGCTGCAAATAATATAAGCAGTCTGATTTCGGTATTGACCATTATATATTGAAATATATAATGAGATATGTGCATATAGTGACCATTGACCATTGTCCATGTGGAGAGAGTTGTCTTGGGTTTTTGGAAATGGGTGTTTTTACTATGACAAGCATGTTCTCTTGACAAAACTCTGTTAGCCTTTGCCCTACTCCATTTTGTACTCCAGGACCAAACTTGTGTGTTATTCTGGGTACCTCTTGACTTCCTACCTTTGCATTCCAATCCCCTTTGGTGAAAAGGTCAACTTTTTTTGGTGTTAGTTCTAGAAGTTGTTGTAGCTCTTCATAGAACTGGTCAACTTCAACTTCTTTGGCATGCAGTTTGGGAATAGACTTAGATTACTGTGATGTTGAATGGTTTGCCTTGAAAACAGAAAGAGATCATTTGTCATTTTTGAGGTTGCACCCAAGTAATGCATTTTGGACTCTTGTTGACTGTGAGGGCTATCCCATTTCCTTCTAGGGATTCTTGCCCACAGTAGTAGATTTAGTGGTCATCTTAATGAAATTCTCCCATTCTGTCCATTTTACTCACTGATTCCTAAGATGTTGGTATTCGCTCTTGCCGTTTCCTGCTTGACCACATACAATTTACCTTGATTCATGAACCTAACATTTCAGGTTCCTATGCAATATTTTTCTTTACAGCATCAGACTTTACTTTCATCACCAGACACACCCACAATTGAGTGTCATTTTCACTTTGGTCAGCCCCTTCATTCTTTCTGGAGCTCTTAGTAATTGCCCTCCACTCTTCCCTATTAGCATACCTTCCAACACCCTCAGACATCTTCTGACCTGGGGCTCATCTTCCAGTGTTACATCGTTTTGTGTTTGCATTCTATTCACGGGGTTCTCGTGACAAGAATACTGGAGTGGGTTGCCATTCCCTTCTCCAGTGGACCACATTTTGTCAGAACTCTTCACTATGATCTGTCCATTTTGGGTGGCCCTGCATGTTATGGTTCATAGCTTCATTGAGTTATGCAAGCTCCTTCCCCATAACAAGGCTGTGACCCATGAAGGGGTTTGAGGTGATAGATTTATATTTATTTAGATAAAGTATGTGTGACCATTATGTAATTTGAAAATATATAAAGAGATATATGCATATAGTGAAATATATATATATATATTTAGTGGAAATATACATAATTATGTATAACTTAGGAATTACCATAACTCTCATCAGCCAGCATGACTATGGCTAAAATTATGATGTATATCTTTTTAGATTTTTTCTATATTTAAATACATTCTATACCTAGATATATCTAGATATATGTCTATATATAACAAGATGAGTACCCATTATAAAAATAGGAGAAACTGCATGAATTTGGTTGTCATTCTTGTCCAAAGTCCATGATAATCTTTTCTACATCTCTCCTAATTTTAGTATATAAGCTGGGGAAGTACATGGTATCTGTTGAATTAAGCAACTGGGAGATCATTTGTAATTTTGTATGGCTAATTTCAGTGGAATGGTGAGGGTAGGAGCCTGGTTGTGTGGGCTGGGGAATGAGTGGGCAGTGAGGAAATGGAACAAACATTACAGACCGCCCTGTCAAGAAACCAGGTTGTGAAGGGAAAGGGAAGTAGAAGATGTCAAGAAAGGAGTAGGATGGACAGGGCTTTTTTTTCTTTTATATTTTCAGTTTTTACTTGGACAAGACTTCTCATTGACTGGAATTCTCTGGTGGCTCAGACAGTAAAGCATCTGCCTACAATGCGGGAGACCCTGGGTTCGATCCCTGGATTGGGAAGATCCTCCGGAGAACAGAATGGCAACCCACTCTAGTACTCTTGCCTGGAAAATCCCATGGACGGAGGAGTGTGGTAGGCTACAGTCCATGGAGTTGCAAAGAGTTGTACACGACTGACTAGAAGGAGCTGACTAAGAGGGATGAATTGAAGATAAAAAGTAGAGATTGTGATTGATGGAGTTGAGGCCTTTAGGATTCAGAGAGGGAAGGGTGTAGGAAAGAGAGACCAAATCCTATCTTCCAAGAAGGAAACTGGGAGGAAGGTGAGGGTGGGAAAATATCTTGATAAGTTTGCCAGTGGGTCACCTGATGTTGTCATTGTCACCAGAATGAAGATGGTTGTTACCCATGTGTAATGAGATATTTGAGGAAGCCTTTTCAAACTTGCATGAGACAGAAAACCACAATATTGGAAAAGATGATCTGTACACTTACATCCTGAGAAAGATCCCAAGAGATGTCTGTTAGAAAAGTCTAGTCTTCTCTGAACAAATGGAAGCTTGGGAATGATCCCCAAATAGTTTAGCTACCTTAAATAACCTATTAAGCATTTATTATCCACATGTTTCTGTGTGTACTTTGTTAGCTTGTCCCGCCCCTGTGAAGTATAGTATTTAACCTAGGGAAATTGCATTATATGGTGTGGGAAACAAATTTGAAATAAATCTTGATTGAGTTTCATTAACTTTGGAAAAAATAATATACTTGGGCTTTAGTTCTCTTCTCTTGTAAAATTGGGATACCATCATGTTTATCTCAGGGCAAATTAGAAGATAGCACAGCTAATAATATATGTGTTACCAAGCACTAGTGTCCTTGTATGTTACTTTCTCATACATATCTTGTCCCTCTCAGGGATCAAGGTCTCCCTTTCACTGCTACATAGCAGGACTTCCTGATAGAAACATAAAACTGTTAATAATGATAATAAACTTCAGCCAGTGACCAGGAGTGTTCAGTGAAGTCTTACTTGCTGTGAAATGCAAATATGATGAACCAAATGGAAAGGAGTACTACCACAAAATGTGCAGACTGAACAGAGCCCATCTGCATGTCCTAAATGCCACTGTACCTTTTAGTTTTGTCTTTACAAAAGCATAGCCCCTGAGGTACTTTTTGTTTCATAAGACAAAATTAAATGCCTCAGATGACCAGGAGGAAATCTGGATTAGTTTCTCTTTTCGCATATGACTTTTTCTAACAACAAGCTTGATAAGGTGATTTATCAGCAGGAATATATGCTGAGTACCACTAATGCCAAAATAGCAATCCTCAGAACAAAAGACTTGTAAGCAAATATAATTGCTATAATGTGTTACGACCTCTCACATGTAGTAATTCAGTTGAACAAGGCAGGGATAACACAATGCAGGTGAATTATCTTCCATTTACTAAACTGCCACCAGATGAACAGCAGTGCCTGGTGGTTATACCAGGTGAATAAGCCACTTTAAAATGGGAAACTGAAAGAAGCAGCGGTATTAGGCTTAAATCATTTCTGTATCTCTGCAACTTAATTCCTCACTAACAGCGCACCAATGGATTTAGCTTTGCCTTTTAAAATAAAATATTTTGGACTCTGTGGGAGAAGGCGAGGGTGGGATGTTGCAAGAGAACAACATCAAAACATGTATATTATCTAGGGTGAAACAGATCACCAGCCCAGGCCAGATGCATGAGACAAGTGCTCGGGCCTGGTGCACTGGGAAGACCCAGAGGGATCGAGTGGAGAGGAAGGTGGGAGGGGGATTGGGATGGGGAATACATGTTAATCCATGGCTGATTCATGTCAATGTATGACAAAAACCACTACAATATTGTAAAGTAATTAGCCTCCAACTAATAAAAATAAATGGAAAAAAAATAAAAAAAGAAAGAAAAAAAAATAAAATGTTAACACATTTGAGCTGCTTTAAAAATCAAATCAAGTCCTTGAGTACTAGTTAAGTATTCTTATGGGCTTCCCTGGTAGCTCATACATTGCCTGCAATGTGCGAGACCCAGGTTTGATCCCTGGGTCAGGAAGATCCCTTGGAGAAAGGAATAATGGCACCCACTCCAGTAATCTTGCCTGGAGAATTCCATGAACAGAGGAGCCTGACAGGCTACAGTCCATGGGGTTGCAAAGAGTCGTATATGACTGAGTAACACACACACACAAGTATTCTTATAATCACTGAACAATTTTAAATAGCTCTTACCTAAATATCTGCATTCATTTCTTTACATCATATCTTAATATCCTGATTACCTTGTCTTTTTCACTCTGTATCCCAAGGTTACTTGAATGTTTTTTCATACTCTTGCTCACTTTTTGGGGGGGCATTTTTCTGGCAACTGTTCAAAATGGTGTTAAATTTTTCTGTTTTTCAGTTGCGCAAACTGTTCAATATTGCTTCACCAATGCATCCAAAATTTGAAGGTGCTCTTGGTTACTTATTGCTTGATATGAGTGCCCTGGTGAAATGGAAGGACACTGGCCCTACAGGTGTCCATTCTCATCCAAGCTCATGCCCTGAACACTGCTTGCTCGATGAATTGTTCTTGCTTTTAAAATGTGATGAATTAGAGCCAGTTTCATCTCAACAATCAGCATAAAGTATGATACACATTGGGTGGTTAGTACACTTACCCTAATTAAGTGAATGGTTGGATAAATGGATAAAGGAAGGGGGAATTGGAGCATATGTGATTTGCCCTTTCTGCTAGAATATGGAAGGCATTCTGAGCAAGGAAAATCACTTTGGGTTCTGTTTTTCAGATAAGTGATATCTGAACTACCGTGTTCTGAGTAGAAAATGTCCCTTTTTGCAAAAAAGCACTAGTATTGTATTTTAACTAGAATCATTTTATGTGTGAGTGTTTGTATTTGATTATGAGATTTGAACTTGGCATCTTTACTAAATGTTCAGTACCGTCCTAATCATTGTAAAGGGAGCAAATTCCCTGTTGCTGAGTGTATCTGAGAGGACAAATTTATATAAAGCAAGGAGACAGCAACACAAGACATTTTGTATTCAGATTGAATATTATGCACTAGCTGTTCTGATTAGATGGAATACTGATGGAATTCAGAGAAAGGAAAAGACACTGGGCCTTGGGGAAAAAAAGGCAATTTGGGTCAATGAGGAGAAGAAATATTTCCTAAGGGCTGTTGTGGGCCAACTTGTGTAGCTTGTTGGCCCATCCTTCACAAAAAACTTGCCACATGGATCTCAGCAGTCAAATACCAAGGGCTCACTGCTTTGCTGAAGGAAGCCCCGGGGTTAGTTTTTCCTGAACGAAAATGACACCTAGATTTAAAACATAATAAATAAAAACTAGTGATCCAGTTATATGCAGAAACCAACATAATGTTTTAAAGCAATCATCCTCCAATTAAAAATGAATATATTGAGTAAAAATATGTACATAAAAACCATAGGTATTTATTTAAATTAAGCATAAATATAAATATAACATAGTTTTTTTTTTTTTTTAATGTGTGTGTATCTGTTGCTCAGTCATGTCTGACTCTCTGTGACCCCATGGACTGTAGCCTGCCAGGCTTCTCTGTCCATGGGGATTCTCCAGACAAGAGTACTGGAGTAAGTTGTGATTCCATTCTGCAGGGGTTCTTCCCAATCCAGGGAATTAACCCAGGTCTCCTGCATTACAGGTGGATTCTCTACCATCTGAGCCACCAAGCAAGTCCAAATATAACATAAATGGCTTATAAATAAAATATAAATTTATGTTCCCTAAGCCATACCAAGATATCACTTGTTTTAGGTCTCTAAGGAGTACTGGCCTATATCTAAAAATATGTCCAAAAGATATTTCAAAAATTATTACTCTCTAGGAAATGCACTCCACTATTGAAAAGATAAAAAGTTGATATTTGGAAAAAAATTAGATAAGTATTTGGGCCATTTTTTATATACTTCTATTTAATCATACATTTATGAAGGATCTAATACACTATTATACAGATTTGTGCCTTAATGAGTTTATAATCTAGTTAAAATCTAAGTTTATAACCTTATTTAAAACTAATGTCAGTTTCTTAGCAATGAGCCTGTTAACAAAAAAAAAGTATGATCATTTGCTACTGACTGTAAATCCAGTAGCAATTTAGAGTTTATGACAATGTGAAGATGTCAGTGTCTGGATTTTGGAGGGTGAGAAGGAACACAGTATGGTGGGAACTTTGGGAAGTGGCATAAACCCTGCGTTATAATGTATTCCAGACCGTTTTCAGCAGTAGGCTCCCATTAATGACATAAGATCCAGTAGCCCATGGTCGAAAAGTGGAGTGACAGCAGTGTTACAAAAACTTGGGAATTGTTGGAAAAGAGAATTAAGCAGTTACTTTGTTCTACAAAGGGAATGTTTCAGAAAATTAGTTTGGGCTGCATTGCACATCAAAATGAAAGATAAAGGGAGCAGTTTATGGTTATTTTGCTGTAATCTGAATATGAAATGTTGAGATTCTTATGAAGATTAACATTATATAATCATTGCATATGGATTTCTAATTTACAGGAGGTTAGAAAGACAGAGAATAAGTTAATTGCCAATTAAATAATGTGTTCCTATTAAATAATTTGATGTTACTTTTGGACTATAATTTCTCAAAATATGTTATCTGAAATAGTAACAGTTATTATTTTCAGTTTTCAGAATCTGCTACCTAAATCAGAATTGAAATGCTGCTGAAGAATAATAGGTAGAATAATAGGTAGAATAGTGTAGTTGACCTTTGGTCAGATATATTTTGTTTAGAAAAATCGAGTCCTTGTTAGGACTTTGGAAACCTAACAGCATATACAATGAGCACTACCTACCTGGGTATCACATATGTTCACATCCAAATGGAAAGCAAGTCATACTTTAGGAGTAGATTGAGTCTGTTTATGCTCGAAAATGAATTTAAATGATGAGACTATGAATGTAGTGAAAAGCAAGGAAATGAATTTGACAGATACTAGTTTTCATTTTGAATTTCAAATTACTAGCTTTCTGTTAGCATACATCAGGAGTAATGAATTTCTATTAAGTTGGCACATAGTTTTAAATTTTATGAGTATGCTATTGTAAGTGTAAAAACTCATTTCAGTGAGATATGGACATGGATATTTCTTTTTTAATCAGCAAGCTCTAGGCTATATATTATTAGTCTCAACTTGTCATCCTGACAGCTTTTAGGCTGTGAAGCTTTATTCTTATATTCCTTTTTGGTGATGTTTTGTTTATTTGGGTAGAATTAAAAAAGAGGCTCTGAAGAGAATTTAATAGTTTAATACTTATTTAATATTTGCTTAAAATATTAAGGTATAATTTATAGGCATTTATGCTTAGACATGTATTATTATTACAACCTTTTGAAATTATTAGAGTGATGCTTTTGTTCAGCAGTATTTTTTTCAGTGTTTTGTTAAAGGTGTGAGCTTCCCATACATAGAGGTCTTGCAGATGTAGTACTTGAGGGCTGTGCTAAACTTTGACAGTGTCAGAAATAACTATCCCACTCTCTTCTACTGCAGACAGCAAAGAGCAGCTGAAAATTACACATCACCTCAGTTTGGGATTAAAAATGGTGATGGATCTTCTAATTGCAGCAGCAACTTGCATCTTGGGTCACCTGTCAGTTCACTGAGCAAGGACTCTGAATGCTTATTATGTCGAGGACAGTGATGGGCGACACACTGCCTCCTTATAGTCACAGGAAAAGAAATGAGCTGAAATTGAGCAAAGTTAATGGTCGAATATCAGTAGCAGGAGTTTCCCAGCTTATTTCCTACCATAAATATGGCTACCATTTATTACTGTTGCTGCTGCCACCGGGAGTGTTAGCAGAGGTAGCTACCATATCCTAAGAATCTAGGCTATGCTTCCCCACTCTGCCAAATGTTCTACACACATAACTCATATAATTCTCACAGCAGTCCCGTATGGATATTGATGGAGATTTCAGGTAAAGAGGTTCAAGTTAGGAGCCAGATTATTTCCATAGTTAGAGCACCACCAGGAAGAGTGCTGAATACCGGTCACTCTCTGTTTAGATCTGGTGCTGATGCAGGTAGGAATCAGTGTGCGTTTTATTCTCTGAGGGTTTTTGAATCAGATGAGATGCCTCCTTCTCTGCTTTTGTTTCTCAACTTCTACTCCTGTCTGAGATGCATATGCACACATACTCTTCTCAACTCTAGAAAAAGTCCCTCTTACAATAGAGGGGCTGAATGTTAGAGGTAACTTTCTTTACTAATACAACAAAAAATGAGAGTAACTATTGTATTTCAGATTGCATTTTTGAAAAATTTATTTTCATAGCCCTCAAATAACATAAAAATATTTAGGAACTGATTCTTTGGAAACATTATTCTCTATTAAGCAATTATTCCTGGACCCTCATTTCTGATTTTGGTGAACTGAGGGTCGTGGCTCTCTCTCACTGTTACTTTACATTCTTCACAGGGATCACTACTATGGCAGGGATACTAATTAGAAAAGGCATCTTCTGGGGAAATTCTGAGAACTTTTGGGGATGTTGGAGGTTGGTGTACGTGTGGTTTAAAAAAACTGAAATGATTGTGGTATGCCATTTCATTTTCCCTTTAAGAATCGCTTCAAGGCATTGGATTCCCTAAAAAGCATAAATACCATCCAGAAAGTATTGATATAATCATCCCAGTGATACTTGTAATAACAGCAGTGTTATTATTACTGGTCCTAGGGTCTCCACAGAGATACCCCACATCTTCCTGATCACCGCTTCCCTCCTGGTATGCATGGCCGTGGGCTGTGATCACAACAGTGGTTTTCCAAGTGCGATTCCTAGACCAGTAGAATAATCTGGGCACTGGTTACAAGTGCAAGGAAAAAAAAAAAAAGCAGTTTCTCAGACTCACCCTAGACCTAATGAATCAAAACCTCTCTGGATTGCTTTGTGTATGAATATGCCCTCCAAGTGATATGATACACATACAAATTTGACAACTATGACAGCCACCTGTCATAGTTTCCTATTGCTGTTGTAAAAATTGACCACACATTTAGCAGCTAAAAACAGCACAGACTTCTTACTTGTACTCTCTGAAGGTCAGAAGCCCAGGTAGATGTGTCTGGGTCTCTCTTTAGCATTTCGCAAGGCTGAAATCATGATGTTGATAGCACTGAATTCCTCACTGAAGGCACTGGAGAAGAATTCACTTCCAACCTCATTCAGGGTTTTGACTGAATTCAGTACCTGGTAGTTGTAAACTGAGGTCCTTCTTTCATTGTTGGAGGTCAACCAGGGTGCACTCTTAGCTTCCAGAATCTACCCACATTTCTGTTCATGTTTTTCATCTATCTACAGTGGTGGGTCGAGTTCCTTTCACACTTTGAAACCCTCTGCCTGTCTCTTCTGCCCTACCTGATGTCTTTGTCTGCTGCATCTCAATGATTGGCTCTTCTACCCCCAGCCAGGAGGAAGTTGTTTTAAGTGTTCAGTGATACATTGGGGCCACATTGATAATCTAGGGTCATGTCCCTATTTTAAGGTCCAGTTATTAATAACCTTAAGAAGGTTATTAATTCCTTGGAGAATGAAATGGCAACCCACTCCTGTATTCTTGCCTGGAAAATCCCATGGACGGAGGAGCCTGGCAGGCTGCGGTCCATGGGGTCGCAAAGAGGTGGACACGACTGAGTGACTTCACTTACGTCACTTATTAAAACCTTAATTATATCTTCAAAATCCTCTTCACCATGAAATATAACATAATCACAAGTTTAAAACAAAGGGTATGAGGTCATGGGGACCGAAATTCTGTTTACTTGGCATAAGTCATCATAAGGTCTTTCTCTTGACTTTGCCCAGGTGCTGTGTTGCTCCCTAGGTGGCCCAACCTCACCATCAGCATCCCATTCTTGCCCCAGGGTTCAAAGTGTCTAAAGGAAACTGTTCTGCGTCACCAGGAAGTGAAGCACATTTCCCATGGATTCCACATGTGCATCAAGGCACCTGCCCTTTGTGTCCCCCTCATCTCATCTGTCATTTCTCTGCATTCTTCTGCATTCGCTCTCTCTCTCATTCTCCAGAAGTGGTTAGCTCCTGGATTTTCCTTTTTTTTTTTTTCATTTATTTTTATTAGTTGGAGGCTAATTACTTTACAATATTGTAGTGGTTTTTGCCATACATTGACATGAATCAGACATGGATTTACATGTGTTCCCCATCCTGAACCCCCCTCCCTACTCCCTTCCCATCCCATCCCTCTGGGTCATCCCAGTGCACGAGCCCTGAGCACTTGTCTATGTCTCTGTCTCCCCTCCATGGTTCAGAAGCACTGTGGTGATGCTGGCATAGACCTAAGCCCAGGAATTCGTCTTTATAAGTGAAGCATAATGCTTCATGGGGCTTATGAGCACAGAGCCTGAAGCCAGGCAGTTTAGTTTCAAAATTTGTGACCTTGGGTAGATCTCTTAACTGTTTCATGCCTCAGCTTACCTATCTGTAAATGGCAGATAATAACAATGTCAGATCATTAGCCAGTATTTCTAATACTCAGAGAAGAAACAGTAAGTTCAGTGGATCCAGGCTTGATTCTTGAGGAAACTTAGAAAATTCCCTTATTTTTTCACATCTCTCACTTTCTCACCAAAACTTTGTTTTAAAGCTTCTTGCCTTGGCCCCCACCCTAATGGATATCTTGAACTGGCTAGGATGATAATCATACAAAAACATGGCAAAGAAGTAAACCCATCAGTATTTGCATATGCGATGTCATGATTTTCAGAATAAATTCATAAATTATATAAGGCTGTTACTATTTTTGTTTTACAGGATGAAACTGAACCTTAGGTGAGATAGCTGAGTCAATAGCCTACATATAGAGATAGGTGAATAAGCCCAGTATTAGTCATTAACTTCTCATGACTTTACTTGTTAACCAAAGCTAACTTGTCTTCTGAAAAGAGCCTCACAGAGTTTGTTGGCAGTAGTGCTCACTCAGTATTGGTAAAGAGAAAAATCCATGAAAGGACCCTGAAGCTGGAGTTCTATGGAGGGAAGGCAGGTTTGGGTGGCCTCCTGAGCAACTGTCAGTTGTCCTGGACCATTGTTTTACAAAAGAACAATAGAAGTAATGGTGAGAACTCAGGAAGTTTGGGCAGAGGGCTGAAACACATTTTTCGAGAAAAGTCTGGAAAGGGGAATTTCTTCAGTGAATTATGCATTAGAGCAACATACATGTCACTTGAAGGCATTCCTTGGCACAGGCACCTCAAAAGATTTTCTGTTTATCAGGACAATGTCTAATTAGCAAAGGACTTGACCTTTGGCTGCTCATAAGGGAGCTTGTTTTACTCTGTTAGTCTTTTTGTCATGTTTTTTGTTGTTTGTGAGTGATGAATGGCTGCTAACACCCTGATGCATGTTTCTTCCTTACCCCCATGGAGAAAGTCTGAAGTTATCTAAGTTATTACTAAGTAGGTTGTTTTATCACCTTTTATGGATATACAGTTTGACATTTTTCAAGAATATTTTCTCAGAGATTGAATAAATTGATTAGAGCTTGTTCACGGGCTTGTAAAATTGTGGTGTATGGACAAGCACAATGCTATTGTCTTCTGTTTTTTATAACCCCTTTTTGTCACTCTTTGTTTCCAGTCAATATTCTAATTTTCCTACCAAAAGCAACTATAATATGTCATTTTTTCTTTGAATTTAAATTATTGAAAAATATATATTTTCTTTATATGGAATCTCTTTTGTGGGCAAAACAGTCTGCATTAAATGTGTGGATGCCTAGTATGGTTTTGAGACATGCTCCTTTGGAATGTGAGAGGCTGGTGTATGATTGCACACTTCATTTATTCACTTGCTTTCTTATTTGAAGTCAATTTGCTTATTCTACACAGAGGAACACGTTTCTGTGACTAGGTTTTCCCCTTCAACAAATTAATATCATATAACCTTTCCTTGCCTTTTGCTCTTGGATTTTGCCTGTGTCAAACTAAAAGATTGATCCCCAAAGGAATAAATTGAGTCCAGTGATTTGCTTGGTCACTCTTGTCCTTTCAGTTTTAGATTTATAAGTCTTCTGACCTTCAGGATCCAAGGCTCTGCTCTAATTCTGCTTCTTGGTTCACAGTTGCCTTGAAGTCTTTTTTCAGCATCTCCCATTTTTGCTTGATGCATGCTAGATTAGTGTCTCTAACGTAAGTGCCCCAGCATTTTTCTTTCTCACATCAGCATTTTTTGTTGATCTCTTTAGTAATGCATCAGAACATGCATAAAGATGTTGTGTGCCTTCCTGGTCCACCAGCTTACATGCACAAGCATGCTCATGTAATAGTGGTGGTTCTCTGCATAGTCTACTTACTACCTTTCACTGCTGTGTTAAAATGACTTCACTACTCCACTACAAGTTATCCAGCTGTCTTTCCTGTAGGGCCTTCTTGTGCATCATCATTACTGGGGTCACTTATTATTCCATCAGAGCTGGGAAGAAATTTATAGGGAATTTCTTGGGGACTGGAAATCATTGTGTCCTAAGAGATGCTGGGAAAGATTGAGGGCTGGAGGAGAAGGGGATGACAGAGGATGAATGGTTGGATAGCATCACCAACTCAGTGGACATAAATTTGAGCAAACTCTGGGAGATTGTGAAGGACAGGGAACCTGGCATGCTGCAGTTCATGAGGTCACAAGAATTGAACATGACTTAATGACTAAACAACAAAAACAACAAAGAGCTGGGTTACTTAGGTAGGACTGGCTTCGACAAGGATGAAGGTATTCTGTGTGGGTAGAAAGAATCTGGCATTTTCATCCTTTCACAACACAGGAAGGTGTGCTGCCTAACAGCAGAATTCTGGGCATGTTAGAGCTGCTATGTAGCAGTTGGTAGTGTGAATGGGAAATGTGTAAAGTGTTTTTAGGTTTTTGGAGGATAGGCAGCATATCTGTGCCAACTATTGTTGTTGTGAAGGAACCCAAGTCTAAATCGGTCTATATGGTTGGATTGCTATGTTTAGTTTATTTAAAACATGGCATTTGGAGAGAGGTAAAATACCAGCACACTGCATCTTCGCCTTTTTTTTTTTTCTTGAAGCAAATTTGTTAGGTCTGTTTTAAAAGGACTAGCTGTAGCAGGGCAGTAAAGAGACATGTGCCTCTCGCGATAGACCTTTTTTGTAGTGTTAATTCTAACAGAAATAATCATCTATATTGATTTATAAGAGTGGAATGGAGTGGGGACATTGATTCAGAAGAGAACAGCTATGAACAGTTTGATTTATGATGGTATTAAAGGAAATGATTCAGATTCACCTTGCACAATCTAAGGTTGCTTGTCCAGTGGTTAGTTGTCAAAACATATTCATCAGAGAGCAGTCAATTTCTCAGTGAGAAGCACAGGCCTAACAGAATGTCTAATTCATTCTTTTGAGGCTGGGACGAAATCATGTACTCGATATGTGCAAGGTTGCTACCTGCACACCCGTGGTTCTTAGGTAGAAGAGGATTGTTGTAGAATGAAATAAATAACCTTGTCAGACACTCATTTTATGGGACAAGAATGTAAATGCAGTGAGTAATCAGAGAGTATGTAAATAGCAGCAAGCTAATTTTCAGAATCATTGCGACTCATTTTGTAAGATATCTGTCCTATTTAAGAGAATAAAACTCAGCTCTTCCAGGAAGCATAGTATCCTCAGTGGTCAATTATGTGACAAAAACAAAGAAGCCTTTTGTTATGACCTGGGGTCTTTCATCTGATTGTCATGATGAGTTTATTGTACTTCTTTAAAGTCTTTGCTGACCTCCTTTGGTGACTGACTTTGACGTCCTTTCCTCAGTTCTCCGGTGGCCTTCTCTGTATTCCTTGATCACAGCACAGGCCACACCGAGGCATAAGTATGGCCAGCCTCCGCTACTTCTGCCTTGAAACCGCAGGTACAGGAGGGCAACCACCAAGGCTTTCCCGGCAAATGTGTGTGTGTGTGCTAAGTCGCTTCAGTTGTGTCCAGCTCTTTGTGACCCCAGGGACTGCAGCCTGCCAGGCTCTTCTGTCTGTGGGTTTCTCCAGCCAAGGATACTGAAGTGGGTTGCACGCCCTCCTCCAGGGAATCTCCCCAATTCAGGGATCAAACCCACATCTCCCGAGTCTCCTACTTTGGCAGGTGGGTTCTTGGGAATCTCCTTCCCAGTATATAGCAGGTGGATATGTGTACTAAACACTGAGTGAGTGACATATTTCAGTATCAGTTGGGCCCCAAAAGTTTGTCTAATGTAGACAGGTGCCCTTAAGAAATACCCATTTTCAATCTGATCCTGACATTACCACTTCACATTTTCTGATTTCCCTGGCTTCACTTTTCTGATTTCCCTAGCTCTAACTTGATGAGGTTGAACCAGACAGGTAATCTTCAAGTATGTTCTAAGTGTTGGTGACTCATTCATTTTGAACCCCCAAGCTCACATTATTTTTGTGATCATTTCTAACGGATAATGTGTGTTTCTGTAGGGAGCATGACTTCGGCAACTTCACCCATCATTTTAAAATGGGACCCCAAAAGTTTGGAAATCCGGACCCTAACAGTGGAGAGGCTTTTGGAACCGCTCGTTACACAGGTAAGAGATGTTCTGAAATACTGTTACCTGTGTGTATATTTCTATTGCGATTATATCATGACTTTCCAAAGAACGTGAAGGTCCTTAAGCATGAATAAATCATGCCACATTGCTAATTACTTAATATGTATTCCTGCCCGAACTGTGGGCAGTTTTTTTTTTCTTCTCAGTAAGATTTGGAATGCTTTTTACAAAAGTTTTCATGTGACTTTTGAAATTAAGTTGATGAGATAATTAAAGAAGGGACTTTGGTGAAGTCTTTGGACCCTCAATTGCAATAATGGATTCAAAGTCTAAATAAATCATGCCTAGCTTGCTTTCAAATGCTAATGCAGTTAGGAAGAACTCTATTGACTATTTAAGAACGAAGTATATTTATTGAATTACTTTGTCTTTAGTTTAAAAGGGAAAATTCATCATGTTGAAATGATGAAATGTTCCATTTTTATGTTGTCACATTTCCACATGAGGGTCATTAACAGAAAAACATCCTCTGGAGTTTTAAATTTTAAAAATTAATTTTTAGTGTGTCTTGTGAAGCATATTATTTGTTATATTGACTAAGTATTTCAGAAAGTTAAAATTCAAGATTTTATGGGTATATTTGTAGAGAAATGTCATGTCAAATTAAGTAGAGACCTTTATTGGGTAGAGATCACTTATATTGGTTTTCTGTAGCTTCTATATCAAATTACTGTAAACTTGGTGGCGTGAAGCATCACAAGTTTATTATCTTATGGCTCTAGAAGTCAGAGGTCCTAATGTTAGGATATTGGTAAAGAAGCATTCCTTCTGGAGGCTTGAGTAGAAAATCTGTTTCTTTGCCTTTTCCATGTTCTAGAGGCCATTCCCTTCTTTGGCCCTTTCCTCCATATTCAGAGCCAGCAGTGTTGCATCTTCAAATCTCTCTCTGACTCTGACCTCTGCTTATGTCCTCATATCTGATCCTGTCTCCCTCTTATTAGGACCCTTATGATTACATTGGGCCCACACAGATACTCTAGAATAATGTCCTCATCTCAAGATCTTTGAGCAAATCACATCTGAAAAGTCTCTCTTTCCATTTTTAAGTAGCATATTCATACTTTCAAAGGATTAGAACATGGACAAAATCTCATCTGAAATTCATCAGCTAAAAATTTCCAAATCTCATCATCTAAATCTTCTAAAGTAGGTATGAGTAAGGTTCTAGATAGGGACTTCCCAGGTGGTGAAGTAGTAAAGAATCTACCTGTTAGTACAGGAAACACAGGAGACATGGTTTCAGTCCCTGAGTGAGAAAGATTCCCTGGAGTAGGAAATGGCAACTCACTCCGGTATTCTTACCTGTAGAATTCCATGGACAGAGGAGCCTGATGGGTTACAGTCCATGGGGTTGCAAAGAATTAGACATAATTGAGCATTCTCATGCTTATCATCAAGGTTCTAGTTATATTCCTTCCTCAAGCAAAATTTCTCTCCATCTATGTACCAGTGAAATTAGAAAATAAATCATATGCCTTCAAAATGCATTGTGGGACAAGCATAAGATAACAGGTGCAGACATTTTCATTTAAAAAGAGAGAATGTGGAAGAAAAAAAATGGTTACCAGTCTCAGGAAGTTTAGAATTCCAACTGGGCAAACTCAATTAGATTTCCCAGCTTGGTGATAATCCTCTGTGGCTCAAGGCTCTGCCTTCTGGGCCTGGTTCTTTAAGAATCATTATTCTTTTTTCATGAAAGATAGCATGTATTTTCAGTTGAATATTTCCTGCCTGTGTAACTTGAAAGTACACAGCTTTTTTGAAATTCCTCTCTCTCTTTTTTTCAGTTCATATTGTCAGTATTTCAACTGATTTCTCATTCTTGAGAAACCTGTGGTTCTCTCGTATATATCTGGGATTTTCTCTGTTAGAAAACAGGATACTTTGGAGATGAGGTTATCCATGAAAGATCTACAGTTTGTCCTCTGCTGAAATCACTGAGGGAATCCATAATCCCATGTCCAATCTTTCCAAGAGCTCCTTGTGTGAATGAACATACCAAGGTTTTAATCCTTCCAAAGCACTAACCAAAGGTTATCTAGACACAAAGTTGACTTTTTCTCAAGAGCCACTTTTTCCTGAAACTGAGACTTCTAATTTTAACACCTCTTGCAATCCTCCTAGGCTGAGGAGTTTCTGAATTATTGGGTCTTGGTTCCTTTCAACTTAATATTCTTAACAAAAAATTTTTTTGCTGGCTGCATTTTGTGGCATGTGGCAGGATCTTACATTCACTAACCCAGGATTGAACCCATGCCCCATGAAATAGGGGCATGGAGTCTTAACCACTGGGCCACCAGGGAAGTACCAATAATTCTTGACTCAATATGCTTCTTTCCTCTCACATTTTGCTATAAGCAAGAAGAGGAAACTAGGCCACTCCTTCCAATACTTTGTTTGGAAATCTTCTCAGCTAAGTATTCAAGGTCATCACTTATAACTGGTTTCTACATAATTATAGGAAGCAATTCAGCTAAGCTTTCTTCTACTCTATAACAAATATTGTTTTTCCTCCATTTTCCAATAGCATGTTTTTCATTTCCTTCTGAGCCCTCCTTTAATTGTCCATTTATAATGCTTTCAATAATTTCTAAAATGATAAAAGCTTACTCTACCATGTTGTTCACTTTCTTCTGAGTCCTTACCAGCAGGGCTTTTAACATCCATATTTTACTCTCTGTTCAAGGTAATCTAGGCTTTTTCTATCATGCTGCTTAAAATGTTCCCAGCCTCTGCCTACCATCAATTTCAAAGCCACTTTCACATTTTCAGGTAGGTGTTATAGCAACACCCTACTTGCCAGAACCAAGGTCTGTTTGCCTATATGCTTCCAGTTGCCACTATGACAAATTAGCACAACCTTAGTAGTTCAAACAACACCCATCTATTATCATACAATTCTAGGGGTCCAAGGTCCTCAACTCAAGATGTTGGTAGGGATGTGTTCCTTAAGGAGGAAGTTCATTCCTATTTTTAGCATCAGGAGTGCACCTGTGTCCTTGGTTGTGGTGTTTTCCTCCATCATTGAAGCCAACAGTTTAGCACCTTTAAATCTCTCCCTCTGACTTCAGCTTCTACCATCATATCTTGACCTCTGACTTTAACCCTCCCTTCTCGCGCATTCCAGGCAGATATTTTTTATCATCTGAGCCCCCAGGGAAGCTCCCTCTTATAAGAACCCCTGTGATGATATTGGGATCACCCAGATATTCTAAAATAATCTCTGGATCTTGAGATCTTCTGCAGAGTCCCATTTGCCATTTAAGGTAATACATTCACAGGTTCTAGGGATTAGGAAGTAGACATGTTTGTTTGTAATTGTTGAAACATTTCATTAGATTTATGCCCTTTTTTAATTTGGTCATGATTCTTATTAGTGCTATACAGATTTATTCAAGAAACACCTAATACTGATAGACTCTTAGATTTGAGAGTATGTTGGCTGCTGAAATTGTGGTTTGTGGACTAAGACTGATCCATGAATTATTTGTTATTGGACAGCAATAAGCACAGATACTTAAAGTGCTTTGAAAAATTTATGATAGTTTTATAGAGTAATTTTATGAATGTTAAAGCTAATCATAAAATTTGGACTTTTTAGTCTTTAAATTTCTGGGGTTATTCATTGTCTTGTATTTTTAAAAATCTTTGGTTTATGCACTTTTAGAATAACATATATTTGACCTTTCATCATACATAGCTTGAAAAAGCCTGGTTTAGGAGCTTCTTTGTGGTTGGTCTCCTCTGAAATGTAGTTCTGTCAGATGGGTTACAAACACAGATTACTTTTTTCTAGTTTTGGAATTTTCACTTTAGATTACATGCCAATATATTTACCCCTTATCATGCAGATGAAATGAAGCAATAATTAGAACAGTGCCTCGTGGTGATTAAATGTAGTTTCCATTTTTCTTTTCCTGATGGTTGTATTTCAGGTTCATACTGGTCATAAACCAATACTGTATAAGTCAGTGAGAAGGATACGAGTGAATCTAGCATGGGCAAGCACAATATTACACATAAACTGTCTCTTCTTAAAATTTTCATATCTTTAGATATTTGCTCTTGTAGTTAACTTATCTAAAGACCAACACATCTAAGATTACATTTAAAAATTCCAGACTTTTCCATGTATTTTTCAATCCAGTCATTTCAAATTCTTCTGTCAATAAAGGTAATACATTAAAAATATTTGTTGAAAATAAAGACAGTTAATAGTCTAATTCATATTTTTTCACTTAATAGAGGAAAATACTTACAAAGTCTTGCTGAATTTCACACTGTGACTTAGTACTGTAACTATTCTTAACACTTTTCCAATGTCTCCTGATATCTAAATGGTTTACCTTTCTTACTAGTGTTCCTACACTGATTTTAAAAAAATTAAAAAAAAGATTCTCTCAAAAATGTGACTTTTAAAATAGGCTTTTGTAAATGTTGTTTTGCGGTAATATGCTTGTGTTATCAAGACTCACCATTCCCATCCCTGGAATGAAATCTTAAGGGTAAGATTAATGTGACTATTGATCCTTGGAAGACATATGAATAATTTAGGAGAGAGAAGGTAATATTAGATATAAACTCCATGTTCAACATTTAAAGAAAAAGGTGGAAATGAGAGAGAAAACTAACCTAAACAAAGCCCCATATGAATTAAATACATATTACAGTTTTAGGAATGGAATAAAATTCACTGAAATATCCAGTGACTCTAGATGCCTGTAGCCATTCTGCAGTTTATATAAAGCTGGATAGAGTTGAAATAAACACCAGAAGTTTAGGAGTTCTCAATGAAATTCATTTACTGTCATAAGAAAAATGTCAGGAATTTACCATCAATAACTATTTAAAGTAGTAAACAAAACTTCATCTCATTTCTATCATAATGTATATAAGGTGCATGTTTAACTTACAATGTTGAAATGGCAAGATTCTCTTTGGAACAATTTTATATTATAGAAATCATGCAATTTCAT